CAAACTTGCCCTAAACCAGGACAGGGGGGGATGCTCCCAGCGCTGAAATTTTTCCTTATTTAGTAATTTTGTTGTAATTTATGTTAAGGTTTAATAAACCTTTTAAAATTTTAAAAAGTGGGCGGTCGTTTCTCACACACAGAATCATTTAGGTTTGAAAAGAGCTCTAAGATCAAATCCAACCAGTAACCTAACACTGCCAAGTCCACCATTAAACCACATCGTTAAGTGACACATCTATATGCCTTTAAATACCTCTAGGGATGGTGACTCCACCACTTCCTTGGGCAGCCTGTTCCAATGCTTTACGACCCATTTGGTGAAGAAATTTTTCCTAATATCCAATCTAAACCTCCACTGTCACAACTTGAGGCCATTTCCTCTCATCACTTGCTTTTTGAGACCAACACCCACCTTGCCACAACCTCCTTTCAGGTAGTTACAGAGAATTATGAGGTCTCCCGAGCCTCATTTTCTCCAGGCTAAACAACCTGAGCTCCCTCAGCCACTCCTCATAGGACTTATTCTCCAGCATCTTCCTCAGCTCTGTTTCCTTTCTCTGGACATGCTCCTGCACCTCAATGTCCTTCTTGTAGTGAGGGGCCAAAAACTGACCCCAGGATTCAAGGTGTGGCCTCACCAGTATCAAGTACAGAGGAACAATCACTTCCCTGGTCCTGCTGGCCACATGATTTCTGCTACAAGCCAGGCTGCCACTGGCATTCTTGGCCACCTGGGCACACGCTGGCTCATTTTAAGCTGGCTGTCAACAAGCACTCCCAAGTCCTTTTCCACTGGGCAGCTTTCTAGCCACTCCAAGCCTGTAGCACTGCCTGGGGTTGTTGTGACCCAAGTGCAGGACCTGGCACTTTGCCTTGTAATATGTGATATAGGTAATTCATGCTTATGTAGAATATGATATGAATATATGTTATAATGTTTAAAAGAAATACTTGAAAGAGTTTTGAAATCCACATGCGGGAGCTGAGGAATTGCCTCATACCAAGAGGCTGCCCATGCCATTTTGAAACTGCAGACAGCAGGGAGGAGGTCTAATTTGCAATCGAAAGAGCCTAGCTCTGGAAGGAGATGAATCGTTACTCAAAGGCCACCTGGGCGATATCGCCCTGAGATCAAGATAGCAGAAGCTGGGGGGAGGGGGGGGGGGGAACAATCACTTCCCTGGTCCTGCTGGCCACATGATTTCTGCTACAAGCCAGGCTGCCACTGGCATTCTTGGCCACCTGGGCACACGCTGGCTCATTTTAAGCTGGCTGTCAACAAGCACTCCCAAGTCCTTTTCCACTGGGCAGCTTTCTAGCCACTCCAAGCCTTGCATTGGAATACCAGGTTCCAGTAACCCTTCCATCAGCATTCATAGCTTGCCAGGAACCACATTGTCCAGTCCAACTCTGAGAAAGAGGATGACATGAATATAAATATGTTTCACTATGAAAAGAACAAGAGAGACTCTGCCTTGAGCCACAAAAAAGGTATAAAACCTGACTGTACCAGACTACCTTTGTGAACAGAGAGGGTCCGATGCGATAGAGGTCGGATCATGGTTCACCCAGTGTTGATCCCAGGGTTGATGCTGTCTCTTTAATTGTGGCTGTCGAAACTGTATATCAGTCACGCAATAAATTCTATTTTTTTGATTATTAAATTGGCTTGATCAATTTTTATCTATAACAGCCTTATTGAACCTCATACAATTTGCCTCAGCCCATATATCCAGCCTGTCCAGATCCCTCTGCATAACCTTCCTATCCTCAAGCAGATCAACAGTTCCACCCAACTGTTCCATTTTCAAATGTACAGAAGGGCAAAAGCAAGAAAAACTCATGAGCTGACATAAAGACAGTTTAATAGGTAAAGTAAAAGCTGTGCATGCAAGGAAAGCAAAATAAATTAATTCACTACTTCCCATTGGCAGTCAGGTGTTCAGCCATCTGCAGTAAAGCAGGGCTCCATCATACATAATGGTTACTTGGGAAGACAAATGCAGTAATTCCAAAATGTGTCTCCTTCATCCTTCTTCCTCTGCAGTTTTATTGCAAAAGCAGAACATCATATCATATGGAATATCCATTTAGTCATTTGGGGTCAGCCATCCCAGCTGTTTCCCCTCCCAGCTTCTTACCCATGTTCAGCCTACTTACTGGGGGATAGGGCAAAATGAGGAGAGAAAATACAACCCTCAACACTGTGTGAGCACTGTTCAGCCAAAACATGGGTTTGTTATCAACACTGTTTTAGTCACAAATCAAAAAGAAAACACCATTCAGGCCGCTATGAAGAAAATAATCTCCATCTCTTTTTCCATACCATTTGCACAATATACTTGGGTTGTACACTCTCCAGTACGTCATCATTAACCACCATCCCTCCTTCTCATCCTTTAGTATGCATACAGATATCATTCCCTTAGTCTATAGCCCCCCTTCCCCCCAAAGTGTCCATAAAATGTCCATTCAGTTCACTTAGTCTGTAACCTGGACTCTGTTAAGGTGGTCACTTAGAACAGGAGAAGTAGCGCATTGTGTGGAGTCATTTGGCACCAAAAGCAGCTCAGATTGTGTCACTGCTGCACTTGCACTGCTTTTTGCAAAGCCCATCCACCACTAGTTCAGGTGGTCCCTTTTATAGTACTACTTCTAGCATACAAATCAAATAATGGGTTACAACAGTTTAATCACATACCCATTACAATCTCCACCCCTGGTCCTTTTGGACCAGGCTATAGAGTTTTACATCACAATGAACTCCATGCCTTGCCCCTGCTCCAGCATGGATTCTCCATGGGCTGCAGTCCCTTTGGAGGCATACCTGTTCTAGCATACACTTATCCACAAACCAGTCACTTCAGCTCATACTGGAGTTCCTTCATGTCCAGTATGGCAGTACTAAACCATGGCATGATTTCATTCAGGCCATGATAGTCCACTGTTAGTCTCCACTGCTGCCAGACTTTTGCAGGCCATATGGAACTATTCAAGAGCGATTGAGTATTACTGCTTACTCCTTGGCTCTTCAATTGAAGAATCAGCTTCAGCCAGGGTCATCAGCTACTCTTTTGTTAACTCAATCACCTTCTATTCATCCTCCAGGTGCCACCCCCTTCTTCTCCCAGGGTCTTTTTCAGATGACAGCTGGGAAGAAATTCCCTGAAAAACCTAACCCACAACACAGCCCTAAAGAATTTAGTCTTAGTACTGATTAGTATAAGATAAACCAATAAAACACCATTTTTATGGTGCAGTGTAAACAACAAACAGGAATTTGAAAGTACAAATTTGAACAGAAGAGTGCAAACTTACGGAGGCAGTATCTCTGCAGCCATGAATATTTTCTCCACCAATTCTGAAAGTATACTGAGTAGATGTGCCAAGTTAGTGTTTACATCTTCATTTTTTTCTAACTTTGAAGGATTTAACTAAAACCAAAAGGGAAAAAAGACATAAGTTTTGTCTCTTGAATAGAACTACATATATAATTTGATAATATTACACACTGAATACTATTTCAAAATAAATTAAATATTCTACTTCTGTACAAATCTTGTACAGAACTTACAAATCTGTTTCAAGGGTTAGCCAGAAAACTAATGTGAAAAAGCAGTTTTTAAGTTCAAGTGCACTATGCTTTTAACAGCACATTTAACACTATCCACAAGTACCCACCTTTTTCTAACTATGTATATTTTCATCTTTTAATCCAGTATTCTGAGGACACAGCCCTCCCCTTTCCATAATTAAATTCAAGTGAAACAGAAGTTAGGAGAGTTGTTTTAGAAATAAAGGTAGGATCTAACACAAGCAGTTAATGTAAGAGGAATTTAAAAATTAAACTTAGTTCAGACACTGACTTCTAGCATATCTGGAGCTTAAAACAAGTTATTTAAGGTAAGCCATTCAGTAACTGCTACAACAGAACATACAAATGCTAAAGAATAAATACATATTTTAAAGAAACTTGAGTTTAAAAGCTTATTTAAAAGTGATGCTATGAACATTGTCCAAGCTCACATTTAGAAAAAAAAATCATAATCAGTTCAGTTCCAGTACTGAAATTATTTCTGAAGAATTAATAAATGCTTCTAAAGCAAATAACCAGTAGATAATAATTTCAATAAATCAAAATTTAAAAAACATAGTTCAAGTTATCACCTCACAGGACTGCTTGCTCTCCATTATCTTTAATATACTGTCTTTCAGTGCATGATGAACAAAACGTGTTGCTGTGGCTTTCATATATTGCTCCATAAGTGTACTTGCTAAAGTGGTGGCACGAAACAAAGTAGTAGCTTCATCTGAAAAAAATAAAGTGTAAAGTTGGAAAAATGAGACAACAAAAAGCAGAGGGGAAAAATAAGCTGTGTTCACAGTTTGATATATGATGCAATAAAGAGGAGACAGAAATGAAGACATGGGAGTTATTCCCTCCCCAGAGTTTCAGCTAATGTTAGTGTAATTAGTACAGTACCTTCCATGCTTATTTCCCTGTCATTTAGTGTTCGTAACAACAGTGACTCAAGCTTTTCATGAAGAAATATCTTCAATAAAATGCCAGCCAACAATGTTCTATCCTGGCCACAAACATGTGATAAGGCATAGACTACATGCATCTCTTTCTGGAGTATGAGCTGAAAGAAAACCAAAACAATGTTCAGAAATTTGTGCTAAAATAACAGTTGCCACAAATACAACTTAACAACATCTGTAAATGTTACTGAAATTTCTCTCAAACAACAGAGATACTGATTTTGACAGAAAAAATGAGGAAAAAAACTTAATACCTCTTTAAACTCACTGTACTCCTCTTCTGGCATGATCTTCTCCATAGAATATCGTGCTCGAACACGCAAAGATCCTGGCTCAATACCTTTCAGTGGTATATGGGAACTGAGTTGAAACCACTCATCTGTTGCATGTCCTTTCTGTAATCGGCTTAATTGGCAACGCATAAACACTTTAAGAAAAAAGCATTGTTAAATAGGTTATCTCCAGCAAAACAGTGCTAGCATTGAATAAATTATTTTTTTTTCAGCACGTCACCTTGCTTCAGCAAAGGAGTATTAATAAAAATGATCAAAATTTGTGACATCAAATATATGGACAGATTATCTCCTAGATGGTTTAACAGACTCCTGAAAACTGAAGTTGAAATATAAAGCATGCTATAAATAATGTATACCCAGAGATATGAAAAAAGGTTTCTTTTTAATGCCCAAACAGGGGAAAAAGCCCCTCTGCTCCCTCAGCTACCTATCAAACCTAGGCAGCAATAAGAAAATTAAAACAGGTAAAATGATTAGAATTCACTGTCCTCTTTTGAAGCCCTGGGCCCATACCTCTATCAGTTCTGCTCTTGAATCTCTTTGTTACCATTTTTAGACTTTATTTTTAGCTTTACTACATATTTCCCAAATGTTGTCAGATGTATTTCTTCAATACTTTGAAACTCCCAAGTTTAAGGCTGTAGCATTTTAGGCAAAACATATAAGAAGTCTTTCCCAGACAGGTTACTGCCCAAATAATGACAAGTCAACTACATATGACAAAAACATTAATTCACTTTTTTTTGGTGGTGTTGGTACCTTAAAATTACTAAGTAATGACCTGCACCAGCCTATTAAACCATAATTGAAAGTCTGATCTGACAGCTGACTAATAAGCTGCAGTAGTCAGACCATTGACCATTCCAAATTAAGCACATGCACTCCTGAACAGACTGTCTGGAACTTCTAAGCAAACACTCTTTTTCTGCATCTCTTGATGAAATCTACTTTTAATCAAGTCCCTCACATTTAAACAAAACAACTCCCCAAACAAAAAACACCCAATCATCCCCCCAAAAGTCAAAACAATCAAAACCACTATCACACTTCTTTTTCACTTTTCTGCAAGACCTTTGAACAGTTCTAGCAGACTTTCCACTGTCCCAATTCTGCAGTATGTTGGGTCATCATTTGCATAATCAGATAATGGAACAGAATGACATCATATTTCTAATATAGATTTAATATCTCATATTCTTTGGAGTTGATGCATTGATAAGGTAACACATTTAAGTCAGTCAGATAGTGGATATACCAATTCATCATCATCTGCTACTTATCACAAGTGTGGACTGGACTGTCTTTACACCAGATAATCAATTGACTTTCCCAAAATATTTCTTCTGAGCAAAGCTCTCACACCCTCAACTGAGCAACCTGCTTTCTTGTTTTGCTTGTGCATATAAGGCATGTATCTCATTGACAGGAACAGTGAGATACAGGATTCAGAATAACCTGATTGAAAGGAATGAGGGATTTGTCTTTACAAACAAACTGTGGGTCTGCTAGTAGATAAAACTAGATACTGAGAGATAAAAGAAACAATGGGAGGGATTCCACTGATTGATAAATGGAATGAGAGAGATTTGTCTTTAGAAACAAACTGTAGGTCTGCTGATAAATAAAATTGGATAGTGAGAGATGAAAGAAAAAATGGGAAGAACCATAAATTCTGTAGGAATTCCACTGAGTGACACAAGGAAAAAAAAAAAAAATGGGGGGGGGGATACAATAGAAGGGGGTCTTTAGGTATTAGGCGTTTTGGGAAGTCTGTACCTCTCAAGTACCTCAGCCAATGGGGAAAGAGAGAGGGAAATGCTGTTGGGAAATTAGGATAAAAAGGAGGCTGCATCCTCCAAAAATTTGAGAGACCCCATGGGAAATACCCATGACCTCTCCCTTTATTCGAATAAGGTTACAGGACTCCTCTGTCTCCTTTTTGGACATAAACCTCTGGTCTTTGTGGATCAATTTTCCTGACACTGATGATTTAATTTGTCCCATGGTTATACAGTAGCACTTTCTAGTGATAATATAAATTTTATCATCTTATTTTGATCTTAAAAGATTGAAACAGAAACATCAACATATGGACTGTAGAATACTTGTTATAATTCATATTCAAAAACTTTAAGAAATACTTTCTGCTACTTAGAAAAGTATATTGAACTATTAGGCTATGTTCAATAAGAGATTGCCATTAGTTGAGGATTTAAGGATGTTTAAACTTTGCAGTCTGGCACATTATGATAGAATAACAAATATACAGAAAAACCCCCAAAAGTTGATCCATTCTTTGCAAGCACAGTCAAAAACTGTATACAACAACTTTGAACCAAGAACGTTTTATGTGATGAATGCTAGCAAAAATAAAAGGTAAAACTGAGCTTTCTTAATAGTTTGTTTGCAAATTAAGCTTAGGGATTAATATTTAGTAACAAGTTTATATATTGATGATTAATAATTATAATCTGGAAATCAAACTTAAAGTGGTTAAAACTTATGGTTTTTTTAGAATGGAAATGAACTTAAGTTTACAGTGAAGACTTTATGAAGCCTTTGTTGAACCCAACCAGAACCAACCAAACCCCCTAAAACCACTTACTTATTCAGAATAAAAGCTTATCTAAATGTTGACAAAGAATAAATTGCTCAATGATGGACATATTAAATGCTGGCTTTCCCACCCACAGCTTACTTATGTGTTAGCACAATCCATTTACAAGGCAGTGAGGAGCTGTTAAGAACTTGAAACTGTTATACTAAGTTCTTCGAAGAAGGGCCTGCGAACATCTTATTTTTGGTACCTAGTGTTGGTAGACAATATGTTGTTACTACCATTAACAAGTACTTGATAGGCTCCATAGTTTCTCCCCCTTGTTCAAAGTCCACCCATGTCAATGCAAGAGTGCTTACATATACTACTTAATACGTTTAGCACATATTTAATGAAGAATATGAGAGGGAAGGAGCCAAGTATATAATCTGCCATAGTAGGCTTATTTCCCAGTGCCACAGAAGTGATACATGTGTATCACAGTGACTTTTTTTGTCCTCTAGCTGCATATTTTCAAATTACTTCAAAACCAAGCTATGGCACTACTGCAAATACAAACTGGCTGAAAAGAGAGACAAAGGCAATGTGTGCTTGCAGCCCAGAAAGCCAACTGCATCCTGGGCTGCACCAAAAGCAGTGTGGGCAGCAGGTCAAGGGAGGTGATTCTTCCACTCTACTCTGCTCTCATAAGACTACACAGAATACTGTGTTCAGCTCTGGGACCCCAAGCCTAAGAAGGAAGTGAACCTGCTTGAGCAGGTCCAGAGGAGGGCCACCAAGATGATCGGGGGCTGGAACAGCTCCTCTGTGAGGAAAGGTTGAGAGAGCTGGGGTTGCTTAACATAGAGAAAACGGTGGAAAGACCTTATAGCAGCCTTCCAGTACTTTAAGGGAACCTATGGGAATAATGAGGAGGGACTTTATCAGCAATTGTAGTGATATGACAAGGGGTAATAGCTTCAAACTGAGAATGGGTTTAGATTAGACACTGGGAAAAAATTCTTTACTGTGAGGGTGGTGAGGCACTGGAACAGGTTGCCCAGAGAAGCTGTGGTTGCTCCATCACAAGTGTTCAAGGCTAGGTTGGATGGGGCTTGGAGCAACCTGGTATAGTGGAAGGTGCCCCTGCCCATGGCAGCAGGTTGGAACTAGATGATCTTTAAAGTCTCAAGCCAAGCCATTCTATGATTCTATGACATAGACAGGACAGCTGACCCAACCTGACCAAAGGGATATCCCATAATACATGGTGTTGTGGTCAGAAGTACTAAGAAGAATACTAAGCTAAGAAAAAGGAGGAGGGAGGGGCATTCATTATTAAGGCATTTGTCTTCCAAAGCAACCACTATGCATACTGAGGCCCTACTTCCCAGCAAGTGTCTGGACATCATTTGTTGATGGGAAGCAGAGAATAAATTTTTTCCTTTGTTTCCATGTGCAGCCTTTGCTTTTCTTTGTTAAACTGCCTTTATCTTGACCCATGAGTTTTTCACCTTATCCTTTCTCCTCCTGTCCCCCTGAGGAGGGGGAGTGAGAGAGCCACTTGGTGGGCACCTGGCAGCCAGACAAGGTCAACTCGCCACAAATATTGAAAAAAAATATAGCTCTGACATTACTCCTATTTCAGAGCAATCCACTTTTAAAAACTGTGGCTACAAAGGAGAAATGTTCAGAAAGGTAATCAACCCCTTTTCTTGCTTTTGGAGGTTTAGGCAATATTGCACACAGACAAGCTGGATATGGTCTCTTTTAGCTCCGTTTTTCTCCCCATATACTTCAAATATTTAATAGGGATGGAGATGTAGGCAGATATGCTTGTTAATTCAAGTCGATATGGTCTAATTCTTATCCCAAAATGAAAGGACTGTCAGGTTATGCTCTAAGAGTCTACCTAGCCATGATCAAAAAACATTGCCAATCCTCTTGACCTAGGTAAGAAAATAATCTATAACCTTCCGCCAGTTGGATACATCTAAAAGTAGCACAATCTTAATCTGGACAAAGAGAAGGAAACTACAAGAACACTTTAAAAGAAGTTACTGAAGTATCCCATTCATGAATTTTCCTTTGAAAGGGTCTTTTACTATCCAAAGCTTTGGCCAAGATAAAGAATTTTCTAGCTCAAATGCATAGAACCATGCAATAGCAAGGTCACAACTGCAATCAGAAAGTCCTTTTGTCTGTCAAATGAAATACATCTTTTTTCCTTTTGCTATGCAGAAAATTTTGTAGTTAAAGGAAAGAGCAACAGTTTTGAAACTGAATTAGGTTTGCCAAGACCATTCCGTCTTCAAAGTAATTCTTCTGCTTTCGTCAAAGTTTCCCTACAAATCTCTTCTCTGAGAGGAAAAAAAGAGAAATAAATTGACACGGAGGCAAACATAACAGGCCAGTAACATAATACCATGCAAATTAAAACCAACAGCAACAGATTATCAGTACTGTGCTAGGCTTTGGGACAGGTCGGAATACAACAGAAATGTACTTGGAACAACTGTTGGGTGAGAGGGTGTCTGTTCTGCAGGCAACAGAGAGAAGGCAAAAGGATGAAGTTACAAGACAATTATGGTGGGAAACAAAATACCTTGAAAGCCAAAAAATCACATTGTGTGGCTCAGAATTCAAGTGTGGGTTTTTTGGGGGGGGGGTTCATTTTGGTGGGTTGGGTTTGGGGTTTTTTGTTTAGTTTTGTTTTTTGAAAGCTGATAAGTCTTACCGTCTTGTTAGTAGTTTTCTGGAACAGAAAAATAGAAACAAAACAGCTGAAGAAGCTGTGTAAATAACAGGAGGAAAGTACAATCTTGGGAACACAGATGAGATAGAATGGGGGGAAGAACAAGATGCTACAAGGACTGAGGCAAGTTTTGTTCTACAGACTGTCAAATTGGAGTTTAATTTATTTTCAAGTGAGGAAAGTACTACTGTTTCTCTCTCTTTCTCACTGGAAACAACAAGAAAACCTGAGAAGGACAAAAGTAATTCCACACAGTTGAGCTTAAAAAAAATTAAAGAAATTAACTTAATGAAACTTAACATTTTATGAAGGAGATTAATTCTGACAGCTTCTCTTTTTTTTTTTTTTTTGTAAACATGGTCACAGTATAACACAATAGGTATACTGGAATAGAGCTAGAAAAGCCATCAGATATACAGTATTGGACTACTGTGCATTTTACTACTAAAAAGCATTCAGGTTCTTACTGTAAAAACATTAATATGAAATCAGTAACAGACATCTAAAACATACCAATACAGCTGTATGATAGCCACAGAATATACTTAATTCTCTTGTGACAATGTTTGACAAGAGCAATGCAAACTCTATCCATTGTTAAAGTATATATGCATCCTTTACATAAAAATACTTACATATATCTGGATCTTTACTTTTCTTTGTTTTGTTACTAAGACTTATCTCAAATCTATTAATATCAGATGAAAGATCACTGGGGAAAAAGACAAAAAGCCCCAATCAATACTATATTTGGCCAACATTTAAATTTATTCTAAAGTTATTTCAATCCTAAGTTATTATGACCAGCCAAAGATACTTAGATTCATACATAAAATTCTATCTATGCATTTGTGGATCCTATATAACCATCCATACGGTATTTTTTAAAAGCAGATACAAAACAGTACAGTGCATAGAATCTTAAATGCAATGCAACTTTCAAGTGAAATTCAGTAATTCAATAAGATTAAGACTTACTCAAAGACAAATTCTTCTGACCATACAGGGTTCTGACCTTCCCTGATATGTGTTTTTGCTACCTGGACACTGTTCAGGTAGATGTTACAATATGGATTAGTAAAATGTTTTACTGGGAGTGTATGAGCTTCTTCTACATGCAAGATAAGACTGCTGACCTAAAGAAAATAAACAAAGTTTATTCATTTATTTAAGAAAGAATGGAATTCTTCCCAATTCTTCCCCCCCCCCCCCCCCATGTTGAGGCTTAATGTTAAGGAATAAATATTAAATACAAACTATAACTTCCTAATAGAAAGAGAAAGGAAGAGGAATAATGAAAGAAGATTTTAAGAGGCACCAGGGACAAAGTAAGAGCAACAACTTGAAAATAAACCTCCAGCACCATAGCTTTACCTCATTTTTTATTTAAAAAACATCAGTATAAGATTTGCAATTACTAACTTTTCTATGCATAGAATATTCTGCTGAAGCTAAAGACTTGCATCTTAAGTAAGAACCATGGACAAATCCAAACACAATGCTGCAGTTCATGCTTTCCTAATAGATTAGGCTCAATTTGAGTCAGCAGTGAGCCCTAGCAGACAAGAGGGTAAAACACATCCTGGGGTGCATCAAGCACAGCATAACCAGCCACTCAAAAGGGATGATTATCCTGCTGTATTTAGCATTGGAGCGGCCTCACCTTAAGTACTGTGTGCAGTTCTGGGCCCCACCATTTAAGAAGGATGTGAAGGTCCTTGAATGCGTCTAGAGAAGGGCAACAAAGCCAGTGAAGGAGTTGGAATGAATGTTCTGTGAGGAGCAGCTGAGGACACTGGGCTTGTTTAGTTTGGAGAAAAAGAGGCTGAGGAGTGACCTCATTGCTCTCTACAGTTTCCTGAGGAGGGGAAGTGGAGAGGGAGGTGCTGAGCTCTTCTCCCTGGGATCCAGTGACAGGATGTGTGGGAATGGTTCAAGGCTGCACCAGGGGAGGTTTAGATTACATTAGGAAGCATTTCTTTACCCAGAGTGTGGTCAAATAGTGGAACAGGCTTTTCCCAGAGAGGTGGTTGATGTCCCAAACCCATCAGTGTTTAAGAGGTACTTGGATGATGCCCTTACTTAATACTATGCTTTAACTTTTGGTCAGCCCTGAACTGATCAGGGTGTTGGACTAGGTGATTGTTGTAGGTCCCTTTCAACTGAAATATTCTATTCTATTCTATTCTATTCTATTCTATTCCAGTAGATTACATAAAATTCTTTTGTTTAACACACTACACTGTTTTCTCCCTGTTATAAGGAAGGTCTGTACCACAGATTCTCAAAATAAGGGCACTTGGAAACCCAATTTCCAAAAAATGAGAAGTGAACACTCTGAACTCATTTACATTAAATATATTTAAATAGTCTACTATTTTACAAACTTCTGAATTTCATGCAATTCATAGCTTAATCAAATATCTACAGATATTAACTGAAGTAAATTTAGTCAAATACAGGAAATATTATATTTAATCAGGTCAAAGTTTCATTTAAATGCAAATATTGAGTACCCAAAATTTCAAAGGACAGTTTGAGAAACCCTGAAACTGATATAACTTCTGTAAGACAGTCATGGAAGTATGATTTTTGATCTTTATACACTTCATCTACCTTGATCATTCATGCTTTTTATAGTTTTCACCTCTCTAAATAGTTCAATACTTCCCATACTTATTTACCTGGAAAATCTTTTACTCATTCCAGCCTATAGTTTTCTCATTTTCTTTATACATTTGATATAAGATGATCAAAACTAGCTGTATCCTAAATGAGAATACCATAAATATGAAATAGTATCTATCTTCTATACTATTTCTTCATGCAGCCTAATATTTGCTTTGTGTTTGCAAATACAGAATTATTTCAGATGATCACTATGTAGGCGCTTTGCTTTTTTGGCTCCAAATTTCTTCTGCCCTTCATATATCAATTGATCTAATTTAGTTTACTTTTTCAGAAGTATTCAATCATCTTTAATGTTGACCACAGAATAATTTTGCATTTCCTAAAAAACCCCACCCATAAAATGTATTCCTTTTCCTATAGACTGGTAAAACAGCCACTTCCAACATTCATAGCATTCAAAGATACCAGGGATTCTTGATTCCCATTATTCTTCAATCATCACTTATGTAGTCATTTATGGTTATCTGTCCTCTACCTCTGAAAGAAATTCTGGACACAATAGTACTCTCAAGAAACCAAAAGAACATACACCACCATCACAGTTAAGCGTGTATTTGTCACTGAAAAATTAATATATTAGTTATACTATTATTTTGGTTACATGTGACATAAGTCTGTCAAATCTGGTGAACTGCAAGAGTTAAGACAATACAAATGCTGAATTGTTGACACTTAAATGTGATCAGAAATTATTACCTAGCAAAACATCTGCCAATTGCCTAAACACCATTTTGATCTTTGTGCATATAGATATCATAATAGAGTGGAAGTAATTCCTTTTGGTTTACCAAAGGTACTGTATAACTACAAGAAAAAGAAAGCACATGCAGGATTTAGTATTGTTGAAAGTTCTGACATATATCATAATTTTGCAACAAGGAGGCAACCTCTCCCCCTCTTCCCCCCCCGTATCTATATAGCTTCACCTGACGTAGACGTTTATTTGATGTCCCTGGACTGTTTTTCCTTAAACTGCAAAACATCTGCAGAGCCTTCATCCAGTCCTAAAAGATAAAGGCACAAAACAGTGTAACAAAAAGTCAGATACAGCTTCTTGCAATAGAACTGACATATCAAAAATATCTGAAGTTGTTTCTTTAGCTTAAAAAGAACCAACTTGTATACAACTCAGAGTATGAAACTTTAAATAGTAAAGCAAAATTCATATATTTCTCAGTAAATCTAAAAAGACATTTGCAAATTTGAGTTTCTCCTTTTAGAAATATCAAGCATTACTAATAGATATACAGAGACCTTTATCAATTTTCCAGATTAGTCATACTTAATTAAATAAAAAATGGTATGTAAAATGAAGCAAGACTTGATTGCTTCTGAAAAAATAACAGATAAGTCAAACTGTTCTGATCATTCTCTACTTTTATATACAGTTGTATTTACTCTGTGTGCTTCAAACAAAAAACAAAGCATCATTAACAAAAAAACACTGAAAAGTATAACCTTCACCCCCATTCTCTCTGCTCACAAATGCATAAAGCAGAGTAGATACTTGGGAAGGTGGAAGATATGCTATAGCCTCATTTCTCATGTTTTCACATCCCACACTGTCAAATTTTGTAAATTCTCATGAAGCACAAAATTTAGGCTTTGACTAACATTTATAAAGGTGTAGGTCAAAGATCTGCTAGCTACTCTCAAAGTGCAATTTAATAATTTTAAAAATACAGCTACATTCAATATTGCAGCTATTCTCAAGTAAACTACTTTGGGAGTGAAGTTTAAGCTTTCAAAACGTTCCATAAAATGAGGAACTGTCAACTATGCATCAAATTTTTATTAGCTTGCTTTCTTATTCAAATAAGAAAAAGCAAATAAAGAACCATAGAACTTACTAAATACTCTAAATTAATCTACATGTTTCCTAGATACAGTAATCTTTATTCTCCCTTTTAACAGGAAAAACTATTCCCTTAAACGTCACAGTTTACAGCAGCAAGTATGAAAAGTGCACCATAGTATGCACAATGACACTAGCTATGTCATGAGGCTAACATATGTCATGTATATGAGGCTAACACTACATTACATTACATTGACATAATGGTTTGCACAAACCTCAAACAACATGCAATCCATTGGACAGCTGCTTTGATATTTACCACATTATATGAAAACCATACAATTTTCCTTAGTATGACAACAAAACTATTCTTCTGTGAAACATTACAAAGTACAGACAGCTGTAACTTCTGAGAACATAAGCATCAGTAAAACATCTGACTTACCTGAACCAGAATCATTTTATAAAACAAATCCCAGTATTCTGTATAAATGCAGTGAACATCTTAAGTGTTAAGCAAATCTAAACCAAAAGCAGATTATACCAAATGTTCAGAAAACAGGGCAGGACATTCTGCATGTCCTGACAGGATATTCTGTCTACTACACATTCTTAAATAAAATCAAATGCATAGCTTGACTTCTGACACAAAATGTCTGTTTCAGAGCTCTGGAATACCAAAACAACTTGATGAATAAGAACATTGTCACATCTTCCATATGCTCTCCTATTAGTGAGTGACTTTTAGAGAATTAAACTCCATTCCTACATTTCTTAATCAGAAAACATTAACTGTTAGAGAGCTAATAACTAAATGATACCAATATAAAACATAAAACCCCCTTTATTTTGTGCAAGATCAGGGCCTAAGACAGGACAAAACTGTAAATGGTTTGACAGATTTTGATTGGTGGACATACCTCCTTTGCATTTTAGTTCTTATCAGGAATGTGCTCTTGAAGCAAAACTCCCACTTACCATGCTGTGGTTCATTAGTAGGAAGAGTGCTGGAAAGTGAACTGTTTTTTTTCATTGAACTACTCCAAAATATATTCTCCAGAAATATCTAATTGAAACTAATGGAAGTTCAGTCCATGGGACCAGACTAGAACTTCTCCAAAGTAGAATCCCTAAAGCATAAGTAATGTAAGTGCTGGATTATCATCACCAGCTATATCTCTTACAGATCTGCTATTATTGCATGGAAATATTTGCTAATGTAGACATAGCCACCATACATTGTACACTTGCTTTCTATTAGAGAAGGATAATATCATTAAACACTACAAAACAAAAAATTGCTTTTAAAATTATATTTATCAACAAAAGCTCTCACCTGCACTTGTTCTTGAGTTTCTCCTGCAAAGTAAAAGATGTAATGCTCTTCACTAAAGTGCTGAACTACTATCTGAAAACAGTTAGGCCTTAAAATCAAGCAAAACAAAAATGTCAGAAAAAAACCCAACAAGAAATGTCTCTACATGCTTCAAAAGTGCATTTTGGTTGGAATTAACAACGCAATTTCAAGAAAACTGCACTATAGTTCAACTAGATTGTTTCAGAATATTTAAGAAACTTGGAACAATTTGTATTGAATATACATGTACACTGACACTTGAGGCAAAATGCATCTGATAGCATTATCAAGTCTTTTATGAGGACTATTCACTACGAACATTTTAAATGATGCACAGGTTCAGCATTACACCCCAAGTACTTAATCATGCCTTATGGATTTGTTGTTTTAGGAGTTCAGGAAACAATATTAACATAAGGAATTCTTTATCTGAATGTGTTCCACAGCTCTCACAACCAATAAAATGTGTACTGGACCATGATCAAATATGTGTCAAAGAAACTTTTAAAGCTTTAAATGTGAGTATAACATCTCAATTTTATGTACGTACACTCATTTGTCGAGAAATATAAAAAATATTTTGTACTGTTACATTAAAAGTTGCACACTACAAGTACACTGAGTCGTCCACATTACCTTCAAGGTAATTTGGCTCTCCCAAACACAGAGTTGCATGAAGGATCTTACTTCACTTGCATGTGATATTTCAGTCTTCCCTTCCCCCCCTCCATTGTTTAGGTAAATACTGGCATGGCATTTTCTGGCCATGCACACAGGAGGATTGAGGAGGGGGGCAAAAAGTAGCTGGGTCAGGGGCTACTCAAGACATGCAAAGCTACAGCTTTCACTGTACTACTGAGAAAAGGGGAAAGATATTTTAAGTAGGTGGTAAAAAAAAGAGGAATTTTGTCTCAACTACAGTTCTTCATCAACAGCTTTCTCAAGCAGGTGCAACCATACATTTCCTTTTACCCACAGTTTCAGTGTTACTTATTATCTGAATATATTTTAACTCACAGTACAGAATTTCTTAGAAGCTACTCAACAGTCACCATTAACCAAAACACTCCTTGTTTAGTCTCCACCAAAGTTTCGTGTATAATTGCCAACTTTCATGAGGAATATTTCAGTATTTTTTGAAATGGTACCCTCATATCTATGGATCCTCATTGCAATAGTTGCGCAGATCTTTCAAAATTATTGCAAAATGTATAAAACTCAGATGCTACAAGAACACCAGATCTTTGCAGCTTAAGAAATGCCACTAATTTTAAACATCTATCTTCACATTATCTATGTGAAAAGACTTTAAGTTGATTAAATGCTTTTAATAAATATTAAGATGCATGGAATAACCAGAGCTGCTGTTTAATGTGTTTTTCCATTTGTTATGAAAAAATAACATTTGCAGGAGTAAATGCATCTTTTTCTTCTATATCACACAGGACTGCATATTTTTTTATAATTAACAGTGAAAAAAGTGTGATCGCTTTCATCTTAGGTACCAATGATATTAGGAAGTAGTTTGATTCTCAATGTCTTTGCCAACAATCAAATCACTTGCAGTTGACATATTTAGTACAGTAAATGAAACTGTGAAAATGCTCTCTTTCAAAAATAATTTTAAAAATGTTTGCTTATATGAACTAACTTGTTCCTCTAACATTAGTTGGTTTAATCTGATTCTTATTGATTCCTAAATAGAAAACCATTGACACATTATCTACCTAATTTAGCTTTCTAATACCTATTAACAAAATAATGTAGATCTTTCAGAACTGACAAAATTCTTGATCTTATCAATTCTTGGTTCAATCGGATTAAAACACTCAATACAGTTGCTTCACAATCTTTTTAATACATGTAGAACAATTCATACACAATATTGAAAAATGACAGTGCAAAAGGCCAAATCATTATCACATCATATTACATGAGAAAATCTTAAATTCCAAAATTTCTTACTAGAAGCTGTTTATGAACAGTTACTAGCAATCAAGTTGCCATGGCTTAAGTTTCCATTAATCAGTTAAATTTGTTCACATATGTTCTTGCAATCTACACCAACTATGGAATAAAATGCAGTATGAAATAAGTGTCACAATACTTGCATTTCACAATCAGCAAAAGCTAAAAAAAAAAAAAAAAAACTAAAACAACAACCAACCAAAAAAACCCCACACATGGACAGTAACCAGGGCTCAGGTGTCAAAACCCAAGTTTATTGTGCCAGGCCAACTTGTTCATTAGTGATGAATTGTTTGTATCTTGTATATGCCTCAAACTAGTAGTTAGCTGTCCTGCTGAATGTACAAGAATTAAAAGCCAGTGCCCTACCTGCCAAATAAACTGTCGTGTACTCCATAGACCGAACACACACTAAGGTCTATTAATCCTTTAGGTTTTGTGGCTCGTTTTTCACTTTCAAAATAAATAAGCTGGGCATCATTTCCCTCCAATATAAAGTACAAGTTTTTCCATCTCTTCCCTTTACCTGTAAGGAAAGTACAATATTGCTTTAAAGAAAATGTAAATTCTGGAAATGAAGAAAAAAGAGAGCAGTAAAGTTTTTGCCAAAATACAAACAGAAGAACAACATACAGTTAATTATGTTTAAGCAATAATATCAGTATACATAATCATTTTTTTTCAGCATGTAGCTAAAACTAGACCCTCTTCACAGATTAAAGTACAATTTTAGATGGTTCACTGTGCTGGTTTTGCATTGGAGCCACCCACGGAAGTGATTTTTCTGAGAGGAGCTGTTAACAGCTTCCTCTGTGCTTAGCAAAACCAATAGCTAGCTAGCTCTGAGAACTGACAACCTGTTAAACCATTAAGAAAGCTAGATCTGCTTCTGTGAGATTCACATTTTGAAACTAACAAGCCTGGGAAAAGCTCTCTTGCTTCCGGCCTTTGAAGGGAGAAGTTCTTTCCCCCCTCCCAGCCCGGTGGCCAGGCGGGGGAGGGGAGAGGCCTGGCCGAAGCCAGGCCCGGCCCCACTGGCTGCCGGGCAGGGAAGGGAAGGCCATCGACCCCAGCATACTGCATCTGAGCTCTAGCCTAGTTGCTGAGATCCCAACCACTCCCCCCTCCTGCATCGAGGCCTGAAATAAATCACCATAAGTGCTTCAGCCACAGTCCAGCAGAGATCACATGACCACCCGTAGGCCTGGTTGAGATATTAACTCTTTCACTGCACAGATGAAACTTGCAAAACATCGATCCTCTCTCAAGTGGAAGAAAAGAGTGAAGATACATAGAAGACAACAAGAGGCACTGAGGTCAGTAAAGAAGACAAATTCCAGATGGGAGGAGAATGAGGAGATGCCTTAGTTTTGGGCTGAAATCCTCTTGTAAGGCTATGGAGAAGAATATAATTGATACATCAGACTCTTTTACCCTGTAACTCATTAAATGCATTGGGGGGATGTAGCATTCTAACCACAGTCATGAACAGAGGCACCAGTGTTGAAATAAGCGGATGTTGCAGTAGCTGTGATCAAATGAGAAGTTTGAACAGAGAGAAATGAGAGATGAGAAACCTTGCCTCAGGAATAGAAGAAGACCTCTGTTCCCAGAGATGGATTAAGAGAACTTTTGCTTTTATGCTAGAACAGCTAATCCTTAAAAATGGCACCCCAATAAGTTGACATGGCCCAGGAACGCAGTTGTGGGATGGCTGCAAGAGATGGGAGGGACTTCACAAATGCAGATTCCCAGGTGGCTGCTATTTGTGGAAATTAAAAACCATGAGAGAACTCTTTCTTGTGGAGAAGTCTCCATAGCATGGCAAGAGAGACTCCTCTCCCTAAGTGAACTGAAGAAAGACTATTTTAGAGGTGGTAAACTGACTGAAAATACCAGGTTTTGTTTCTTTACATTGTCAGGGGAAAGGAAAGAGGAGTTGGGGGGGAGAAAAAGTGTTTCAAAGGTTTATTCTGATTTCTTTTTTTTTTTTTTTTTTTTGAGTTTTGAAATAAAGTTTTTTTTATACTTTTTAAATTTTGAGCCTGCCATTAATCAGTTAAATTTGTTCACATATGTTCTTGCAATCTACACCAACTATGGAATAAAATGCAGTATGAAATAAGTGTCACAATACTTGCATTTCACAATCAGCAAAAGCTAAAAAAAAAAAAAAAAAACTAAAACAACACCCAACCAAAAAAACCCCACACATGGACAGTAACCAGGGCTCAGGTGTCAAAACCCAAGTTTATTGTGCCAGGCCAACTTGTTCATTAGTGATGAATTGTTTGTATCTTGTATATGCCTCAAACTAGTAGTTAGCTGTCCTGCTGAATGTACAAGAATTAAAAGCCAGTGCCCTACCTGCCAAATAAACTGTCGTGTACTCCATAGACCGAACACACACTAAGGTCTATTAATCCTTTAGGTTTTGTGGCTCGTTTTTCACTTTCAAAATAAATAAGCTGGGCATCATTTTCCTCCAATATAAAGTACAAGTTTTTCCATCTCTTCCCTTTACCTGTAAGGAAAGTACAATATTGCTTTAAAGAAAATGTAAATTCTGGAAATGAAGAAAAAAGAGAGCAGTAAAGTTTTTGCCAAAATACAAACAGAAGAACAACATACAGTTAATTATGTTTAAGCAATAATATCAGTATACATAATCATTTTTTTTCAGCATGTAGCTAAAACTAGACCCTCTTCACAGATTAAAGTACAATTTTAGATGGTTCACTGTGCTGGTTTTGCATTGGAGCCACCCACGGAAGTGATTTTTCTGAGAGGAGCTGTTAACAGCTTCCTCTGTGCTTAGCAAAACCAATAGCTAGCTAGCTCTGAGAACTGACAACCTGTTAAACCATTAAGAAAGCTAGATCTGCTTCTGTGAGATTCACATTTTGAAACTAACAAGCCTGGGAAAAGCTCTCTTGCTTCCGGCCTTTGAAGGGAGAAGTTCTTTCCCCCCTCCCAGCCCGGTGGCCAGGCGGGGGAGGGGAGAGGCCTGGCCGAAGCCAGGCCCGGCCCCACTGGCTGCCGGGCAGGGAAGGGAAGGCCATCGACCCCAGCATACTGCATCTGAGCTCTAGCCTAGTTGCTGAGATCCCAACCACTCCCCCCTCCTGCATCGAGGCCTGAAATAAATCACCATAAGTGCTTCAGCCACAGTCCAGCAGAGATCACATGACCACCCGTAGGCCTGGTTGAGATATTAACTCTTTCACTGCACAGATGAAACTTGCAAAACATCGATCCTCTCTCAAGTGGAAGAAAAGAGTGAAGATACATAGAAGACAACAAGAGGCACTGAGGTCAGTAAAGAAGACAAATTCCAGATGGGAGGAGAATGAGGAGATGCCTTAGTTTTGGGCTGAAATCCTCTTGTAAGGCTATGGAGAAGAATATAATTGATACATCAGACTCTTTTACCCTGTAACTCATTAAATGCATTGGGGGGATGTAGCATTCTAACCACAGTCATGAACAGAGGCACCAGTGTTGAAATAAGCGGATGTTGCAGTAGCTGTGATCAAATGAGAAGTTTGAACAGAGAGAAATGAGAGATGAGAAACCTTGCCTCAGGAATAGAAGAAGACCTCTGTTCCCAGAGATGGATTAAGAGAACTTTTGCTTTTATGCTAGAACAGCTAATCCTTAAAAATGGCACCCCAATAAGTTGACATGGCCCAGGAACGCAGTTGTGGGATGGCTGCAAGAGATGGGAGGGACTTCACAAATGCAGATTCCCAGGTGGCTGCTATTTGTGGAAATTAAAAACCATGAGAGAACTCTTTCTTGTGGAGAAGTCTCCATAGCATGGCAAGAGAGACTCCTCTCCCTAAGTGAACTGAAGAAAGACTATTTTAGAGGTGGTAAACTGACTGAAAATACCAGGTTTTGTTTCTTTACATTGTCAGGGGAAAGGAAAGAGGAGTTGGGGGGGAGAAAAAGTGTTTCAAAGGTTTATTCTGATTTCTTTTTTTTTTTTTTTTATTTGAGTTCTGTAATAAAGTTTTTTTTATACCTTTTAAAGTTTGAGCCTGCTCTGCTCCTCCTCCTAAATCCTTATTTTATAGCAGAAAATGCATAAATAATTTTATTTGGTGCATTGGCATTGGGCCAGCACTAAACCCACAACATTATTTGGTGCGTTGGCCAGGAAATCCAAATTAGCGAACCAAAAGCAATACGTGAAATTGGTGTTTCTGCCTGGTTTTGAACTGAAACCGCCACATTCACTAAACATTTTCATTAATCTCAACAGGATTAAACAGGTGTGTGTGAGCTCTGTTCATATCAATGAGAAGACTACATCTATATTTTTGCAAATAATGTATGATGCTGTAAGCAATCTCATTTATTATGGCTATTTTAAGTAAGAAACAGAGTTCTCTTTACATGACAAATTTATTCCTAAACTCTTACCAACTGATCAGCATAACAAATTGCATCACAATATCTTAAATCAAAATGACTAAAAACCAGAAATGGGAATACAGTATATGCAAATCTGGATCAGAACCACACACTAAACATACATATATAAAAAAATTTAACCGTTTAAAAAAAAGTTTTAAAAGCTTAAAAAAAAGTTAATACCCGGAGATTTATATGTTGAGGTTTGTTGGAAGACAAATTAGATGTGCCAGTGAAATGTGGATTTAGCCATTGACTAAAACAAAAAAAAAAAATCACTCATTGTTTAATGTCCACCAAATAAAACTGATAAGGTTCTGAACTAATTCATACATAAACCACAGTACATTTTGGAAAAACATTCAGCCTTAATTTTCAACTTGATCATCATAGATCCACCACAGCCCATCATAAACAACCTTTTGCTCACTTCCATTTAGCCTCTGCTAGTACCACTACTACACAAAATTTACATACATATCTGCATTTTTTAGAAAAAAATTTCTAAAATCAAACAGAACTCACTTTTTTTTAGAAGATATCCTTTTTTGACAATATTTTTATAAAAAGCATCCTTTGTTTTGCGACGAATTGTATTGTAGATTTCTTTTCCATCGACTGTATCATTAAACACTTGTTCTTGATGCTGGTAAACAAGGAAGAAATCAACATTTTTTTAAGCTCAGAAATCACTGTGAAACAATTGCATACTATGCAGCTGCAACCAAACTTTTATTGAATGCTACAAATTCCTTATTCTCTCATGTATCTTAACAAACCAATATATTTTAATACAATACATTTGGCAGAAATGTAATATAACTATTTCTTGTGGAATGATTAGGCCACAATTATAATATGAGAAGAAAAACAAGGTTTAAATACAGACCAATTTTCAAAAAGTAACATCTGTATTTATGTTTTTTAATACTAAATAGCTTTCAGCAATTTATGCAAAATTTACACAAATCTTTAAAGGTTCTTTAGCTTCTGTCTTCTACCATGGATTTTGGGACTGAGTAATTAAGGATAAACTCTGAACCAACAAGAATGGTATAGATCACAATAAAAACTGAATTATTAACACACAGCTAATGCACAGTTCCTCACTAATCTCATATCCTAAATGACTATCATTCTAACAAAAAGCAATAGGAGAAAGTAGAAACAGAACATTGAAAAAGGATAAATTCACATATAAAATGAAGATCTGGAAATGTTGTTACCCAGCTAGAATGGCCAAAAGCCAAGCCATGTTTGACCTTACCAAGTCAGCTGATCAGCAAAAGTTCTTTAGCCATAAGAAAACATGAAAAGCAAGACTATCAGGCAGAGAACAGCATCAAGATGAAGTGATATGCACTAGCTCCATACTAAATACTTTTCTCTCCTCTATTCCATAAGAATCATGGTTTTAAACAACATGACAAAGGCAAGATAAAAAACATTTCAGTAATAGGAATTACAGGGCTGACAATAGAAGCAATATCCAAGTTTATACTAACTCAGTATAATCTCCATAACATATCTATGAAAAAATAACATAAAAAAACAACACATCTAGTGAAAAATATTTTAAAGTAAATTTCAAAATTAGAAACAGTAAGTCTATTAGATTTAAGCAACAGCATGCAAGACGTGATTTTTTTTTTCTTCACAAACAGAGCATGACAGTATGTGGTAATTACATCACCAATATATATATTTTTTTAACAAAGGAAAGTCACAAATATATCTTAATAACTTAAAATAATTTGATGCAGTCTCACATGGAAAATTAGTCAACACAGAGAAAGTTATTTATACAGGAGCCATAATTGAATAGACAAAGTGCCAAAAGGAAGATGATGGTCATAATCCGAAAAGAATGATAGAGAACAAGGAAAGTTATTGGGTGAAGCTTTTCAAGAATCAGTCTCTGAATTCAAGTTTCCTCACATTTGTCTCAAACACATTGAAGAGCATGAGTTAATAGAAGCAGAAAACTGGGAAGCATTGATGACAAGTCAGCAGAAAAAACCCAAGCAGTCAGAATAATAAAGTATAAGTCTAATAATACAAGATAAAATTTGCTCTTGTTGATCCTTACCAATAGCAAACAATATAATACAATGTGGGTACGGTAATGACACAGATAACGTTCTAGGATATGACACAGATAACCTTCTGCAATCTGGTAAACACTCTTATAGAAAAAAGGAATTACTAATGACATCGTATTATGAGCTGTTCTGGTTCGTTACATTCAAGAAACACAAACTCACACTGGAATACGGTGCTAGTAGGGCAGCTACAAGAATCTTATGAAAAGACAAAACCAGATTTTGGTATGCTCATCTTAGTGAGCTGACTAAAGAATAATACAAAGAAATGCCCTTGAATTAATATAACAGCTCTAACAAAGGGGTAACTATTTAGGTTAGAAATTAAAACCAAATTTCTAACCATCAAAACAGGAAAGTTGAAGAATAGATACGGAGAAAGGATAAAAATATACTTTTGAACTAGTTATAACTTTATGAAAAACTAGACAATATAGTTTGTTTATTATCAGTGGTCTCTTAGGATGAATTTATGCTACAGGGCAACCATGTTCTTGAACACACCCTGTAATCCTGGCCCCTTGATCATCTCTGAAGATTTTCTGTTCATATAGATTTTCTCTGAGGGAAGAAAGATATTAGACATAGAAGAATAGAGAGCAGCCTAGTTCAGGGACCAGAGTTAGGGGCACAAGATGGAACATTTACACCCCAGAGCACAGACAAAGCTTATAACTTCTGTTTACTACAAGCCAATAGATAAACTAATGCATATGAAAATAAAATGAAAGAAACACGCAAACTCAAAAAAAAATTCAGGAGGGGATGATGCTGTTTAACTACAATGGATACCTCTGCAGTATTTCAGTTCCTATATTATAAATATTTGAGGACTAAGTCAATACCTTCAATAACAAGTGCTCAGAGATGAAGTTTTACCTGCATTGGAACAGGATCTTTAAGGTAATATCCTTCAACAATCTGTTCTTTTCTATAATGGTCAATGATCTCTGCAATACTGTTCAAATAAGAAAAATAATATTTAAAATGTTAAATCAATTAGTTTTTCCTCTGTATGAGACATGCAATCACACTACATTTCCTCACAGATTTATAATAAAAATCAAGTGTTAAACATCATAATCTCATTTGCAGCAATGACAATCTACTAATAAATATATTGAAGTCAAGAAAATTCACATAACTATATTTATTTATTCTAAATGTCGCAGAATATTTCCAATCAGTTGTTGAAAATGCATGTATTGAGTATGTCTGGGATGGAGTTAACTTTCCCCACAGCAGTCCTCACAGTGCTGTGTTCTGTTTTTTTAGCTAGAAAGATGTTGACAAACAACCAGTTTTGGCTACTGCTGGGCAGTGCTCCCACAGCATCAAGGCTGTGTCTCCAACCCCATTCCTCAAAAGACAGTAAGCTGGGGGTGGGCAAGAGCTTGGAAGGGGACATAGCCATGAGAGCTGACCCAACCTGACCAAAGGGATATCCCATAATACATGGTGTTGTGGTCAGAAGTACTAAGAAGAATACTAAGCTAAGAAAAAGGAGGAGGGAGGGGCATTCATTATTAAGGCATTTGTCTTCCAAAGCAACCACTATGCATACTGAGGCCCTACTACCCAGCAAGTATCTGAACAGCACTTGCTCATGGGAAGAAGAGAAAAAAAAAATCTTGTTTTTCCTTTGCTTCCCTGTGCAGCCTTTTCTTTGTTAAACTGCCTTTTTCTTGACCCACAAGTTTTTCACCCTATTTTTCTCCCAGTCCCACTGAGGGGGCTGAGGGCCGAGAAGGGGTCTTGGTGGGCACATGGCAACCAGACAAGGTCAACCCACCTCAATGCCAAATGAGTACACTACCTTTTCCACATTCAAGTAACACATGTGCATTTCTCAGCTCTCCAAACAGGCTGAAAATTGCTATTTTATTGGTAATAATTTTCAAAGTCCTAGAGTAACTAAGGAAGGGGAATGTAAGATATTTCAAACTGTGGAAATCAAGTTTTGTTTACGAAGACAGGAATGGGAAATAAAAAAGTTTTGTAACACAGACTATGCAGATTGTACTTCAAATCACTGAACCATCGTGTTAAATTAAATACCCAGTCAGAAACATGTTTCTATGGGTAAGCTTACATTTTAATTACCAAAGTCAGGTTTAAATTCTATTTTGAAGGATCAGGAAAGAAGTAGTGACAGACACAATCTAAAATTCAATATATCTTTGGATTGCTCTTATTTTTACAGTTATTGAAAGTTACATTGTAATAAAGAGAAGTTAACATCAACACAGATGAAGCATTCATATATGAAATATAAACCTGAAGATAAGAAGGTAATTCAGAAGAGAACAAAAATATACATTATGTGTTTTCTCATTTCATATAGACTGTTAGCTGTGTGTGCAAATGTAATCAAAAAGGCACACATGATAAATCTTTGGCCTATTACAATTGGATAAAATTTTATCGAAAGGAAAAATATAGGATACTATAAAAATTATCATAAAAACAATCATAAAATACATGTAACTAAAACAATAGAAAGAAATCTATTTGCTTTTTCTCAATTTCATTCTTCTAAAGCTATGAACTAGTGTATACGCATTAAGCTAAAAATGTTCACAGGAAGATTAGTTATTTTTTCAAGTTTGTAATGTCTTGAATTTCTCAATATTACTAAACCCCAAATAAATTTAAATTTTTATTAATATGCAACATGCATATGCCATTTTCACCATGAAAATTTAAGCTTTACTACACTGCATAAAATAATCACTCACTGTATTTTGCATGTTAAACAGCTATTGCCAATATGAGGGCAATCAATAATAAAACAGCTTTATACAATTTCTTTAGCCCTCTTCTCCCCCACACACTCAACTCAGATGGTCATTATCTATTGTCACCACTGAAGCAGTCCAAATGACTGAACAAACCAAACATTACAAAAAGAAAGATACTACATATAATCAAATACACTTGAGAATGAATTATCAAGTAATCCAAGTTAGCTAACATAAAATACAAAGCATGAGATGGAACAGACCACAAAAAGAAACAGGGTGACAGGAAAATAGTATTTATAAAAATTTTCAGCATCTGACATCAACAAAATCCTACTTACACAAAAGACATCAAGGAAGGTATAAATAAGCATGAATTTATAAAAATGAATGGTTGAACTTGGTTCAATATGGAGAAATAAATATGAGTCTCAATACTACACTACAGTTACATTAGTAATTGTAAAATGTTTAGCATAGTTTATTAGGCTGCCCAGATCCTAGCTACTTGGATAATTTTAAAAGTATCTCATCATAATAAGTAGTATCAGTCTTTTAATACTTAATGGGTGAATTAAGGGTTATTCCAACAGCTGATGATAAGGACATTAGAACAGAACAGTATTTTACTCTGATAAGGACAATGTAACTTAGGCAAACAAAAGTCATGCAAAATGCAATCAGGATGCCAGCTCAGCTCTGCAAGGCTGACAAAGCAGAAATTATGCAAAACAACAATATTGTGCTTACTCTAAAGCAGGGCTCAAGGAACAGCCACCTAAAAAAGGACACCAGATGTTGAAGACTACTGAAGAAGCATATAAGGACTTCTGATAAGGGGTGTGACTATGTAAAATAAAGCCAAGGAAGTGGGGATAGCTAATTAAAATGTAATACATATACATCAAGTAAGCAGGGATAGCTAATGAATATGCAATCAGTGTGTATGATAAAAACTCTGTTCACTTGATGCTCAGGGCACTCAATTAGAGGAAAGATCCTCTGAGTGACCAGCATGCTGCAATAAAGAATGCCTACTTTCTAATACTCAAAACTGTGTTAGAAAGTTTCTATCTGGCCAATTTTGGAATCACTGACATTTCAAATAGTGAAGAATCCAGAAAACAGAACACTACATCATTAAATTATAAGGAAAAAGACATTAACATGTTAATACGTGTTAATCCCATATTGTTCAGCCTATCAAAACATGGATTAATCTATCACTTAATTATTAAAAAGTCTTCCAACAACTCCAGTCATCATCTAGTCTGAAAATTGCCTCATCTCTCAAATTAAACATAATTTGAAAACTTGTTCAATCTGTAACTGTTAGGTCAATATTTCTTATGTTCTACTTTGACATGGAATCAACAGATACACCACTCTGTGCTGCTGCCCCCCTTCTAAATTTTTCAAGTTTTTGGAAAACTCTCTCTTAGGAAGGTGAGATTTCAGAAAGAAAACAGAATGAGAGGACAAAGTGGCATGAGATATGCCTATCCTACTCCACCTTCTAAAATCAGAAGTGAAACTTTAAAATTGCTACCTTACATTCAAATATCATTTTACTTCCCAGGTAGTTTGCATATCCAGACATGGGACTGGAAGTTTCACAACTTGTATAAGTAATACTACATTTCTGCCTATACTCCAAAAGCAAGCACAGGTAGCATTTTCCTCAGTCTTCCCAGTAAGAGGGAGAGGCTTTAGAAGAAACAGGTGAACTCAAGACATCTGGATCCAGGACTGGTGCCTCTACCAGAATATTGCTTTTTATAACCATGGAAAGTCTGAGACACAAGGTATGCTGGGACCTGACATGATCCATCTGTCCTGACAGGGGAAACGCTTCCTTGTTCATAAACTCACAGGACTGATTGAGAGGGCTTTAAACTACAATCAGTGTAGGAAGGGGACACCAACAGGACAGCTGAAGGTAAGCCAAGGGTTGTCATGGTATCACCTGAGGGTGGCAATGCTAATGGGAACATTTATGCTGTTCTGGAGAGCACTGATGGCTTAGAAGCACATCTATATGCTTGTACACCAACACATGCAGTATGAGAAACAAATAGGATGAACTGGAAGTGTTAGTCAGTTCCCAGAGTGACAATATCATTGGTATTCGTGAGACCTGGTGGAATGCTGGAATGATGGGCTACAGGCTATTCAGGAGGGATAGGCAGAACAGGCAGCAGGCAAGGTGGATGAGTTGCACTGTATGTAAGGGAGAGATGTGACTGTACAGTACTTACAGTTAACAATAATGTGGCTGAGAGACTCTGGGTGAGAATTTGGGGGATGGAAAACAGCAGCTGTCAGAGTAGGTGTCTACTATCGATCTCCCAGCCAGGATGATAGCATTGATGAGTTATTCTACAGGCAATTAGGAGAAATCTCTGGATCAGTAGCCCTTATCCTTATGGGAGTTTTCTACTTCCCTGACATCAACTGGGAATATCATATTGCTGTGACAATTAACTCTAGGAAATTCCTAATGTTTGTAGGAGATAACTTCTTGTCACACGTACTCAGTGAGCCAACTAGGAAAGATGTCATCCTAGACTTATTGTTTGCAAACAGAGAAGGACTCGTGAGATACAATGGTAGGTGGCTGTCATGGCCACAGTGATCATGAAATGGTTGAGTTTAAACTTTTCAGTGTAATGAGAAAAAAGGACAGCAGAGTTGCTACCCTGGACTTCAAGAGAGAAAACTTTAGGCTATTCAGGGAGCTACTTAGCAGTGTCCCCTGGGAATCTGCTTTTGAGGGCTTAGGCGTCCATGAGTACTGGTTGGTCTTTAAGAACCACCTTTTAAAAGCACAGGAATAGGCAATTCCAGTGTGTGTCACAAGTCAAGCAAATGGGACAGAAGACCAGCTTGGCTGAACAGGGAACTCCTTGTCAAGCTCAGAGGGAAAAAAATTGTATGATCTCTGGAACTGAGGTCAGGCTTCACAGAAAAATTACAGAGCCCTTGTTTGCATATGAAGGGAGAAGACATCGAAGGCCAAAGCTCAACTAGTGTGTAAACTCTGTCTGGAGAGCAGCCCTGCAGAAAGGGATCTGGGGTGCTGGTTGACAGCAGGCTCAATTGGAGACAGCAGTGAGCCCCGGCAGCCAAGAGGGCAAACCACATCCTGGGGTGCATCAAGCACAGCATAACCAGCCAGTTAAGAGGTGACTATCCCTCTGTATTTAGCATTGGAGCAGCCTCACCTTGAGTATTGTGTGCAGTTCTGGGCCCCACCATTTAAGAAGGATGTCAAGGTCCTTGAATGTGTCTAGAGAAGGACAACAAAACTGGTGAAAGGGCTGGAATGAATGTCCTGTGAGGAGTGGTTGAGGACACTGGGTTTGTTTAGTTTGGAGAAAAGGAGGCTGAGGGGTGACCTCATTGCTCTCTACAGTTTCCTGAGGAGGGGAAGTGGAGAGGGAGGTGCTGAGCTCTTCTCTCTGGGATCCAGTGACAGGACATGTGGGAATGGTTCAAAGTTGTGCCAGGGCAGGTTGCGACTTGACATTAGGAAGCATTTCTTTACCCAGAGTGTGGTCAAACAGTGGAACAGGCTTTTCCCAGAGAGGTAGTTGATGTCCCATGCATGTCTGTGGACAATGCCCTTAGTAATATGCTTTAACTTTTGGTCAGTCCAGGACTAGATAATCGTTGTAGGTCCCTTCCAACTGGAACAAATAAACAAAAAAATCCAACCAACCCCACTCACCCAAAAAAACCCAAATTCCAAAACCTACCCCAAAACAAAAAACAAAACCAAAAAACCCCACACCCTTCCATAACAAAACCACATCATAAACAAAAACAAACAAAAGAAACCCAACTGTAAAACATGGAAGCTATTCACAGAACAGCTGAGGTTGCAAGGGACCTCCAAGATCACCTAGTTCAAGTCCCCATTTCAAAGAAGGTATAACAGATTGCTTAGAATCTTGTTCAGCAATGTTCTGAGTATCTTTAAAGATGGAAACTCTACAAGCTCTTTGGGTATTCTCTTCCAGTGTTTGATCACCATCACACTGGCCACTACTACAAAGAGTTTCTCTCTCTCTTCTTTGCTCCCTCCCTATCAGGAATTTATACAGAGTGATAAGATTCCCCACCACCACCTTCTCTTCTCAAAGCTGAACAGTCCCAGCTCCCTCCACTTGCCCTCAAACGACAGATACTCTAACCCATCATCTTCATGGCCCTTTTCTAGAAGCCTACAACACCTGGACTCAGTATTCTCAAGCAGTCTCCCATCCAGTATTAACTGGGCCCAAAGCTGCTTAGCTTCTAAGATGAAAGGAAACAGAGTATGTTCAGGATGGTGTGGCCACAGGCTAGTAAGCATATATTTTCTGTTTGAGATTTCATGATATGCAGTTAGTAAAATCACATGTCCTCCTGTCCCATCATCATGCCCCTTGCCCCCCAACCAGCTTTGACAATTTTTACATGAAAAAGTAGATATTCATAGAATCATTTAGGTTGGAAAAGACTTCTAAGATAATCAAGTCCAACCATTAACCCAGCACTGACAAGTTCACCACTAAACCATGTCCCTAAGTACCACATCTACACAGCCTTTAAATCCCTCCAGGGATAGTGACTCCACCACTGCCCTGGGAAGCCCTTTCTAATGCTTCACAACTCTTTTGGTGAAGAAATTTTTCCTGATATTCAATCCTAACCTCCCCTGGCACAACTTGAGGCAACTTCCTCCTGCCCTATTGCTTGTTACTTGGGAGAAGAGACCAACACCCACCTTGCTAAAATCTTCTTTCAGGGAGTTGTAGAGAGCAATAAGGTCTCCCCATATGCTCTTTTTCTCCAGGCTAAACCTCCATTTCCTCAGCCACTTCTCATAAGACTTGTGCTCCAGAGCCCTCAACAGCTCTGTTACCCTTCTCTGGACACGCTCCAGCACATCAATATGTGTCTTGTAGTGAGGGGCCCAGAACTGAACACAGTATCCAAGGTGTAGCCTCATTAGTGATAAGTACCCCAGTAGTCACCTATCTTGTCCATGGAATAAACATAAAGATCACAAAAGTTACATGCTTTACTGAAGTCCATGGAAAAATACTATTTCAATATCTAGTCAAAATAATTCACTCAATATGTATTTCACATTTACTATATATTAAGACCTTCAAATAGACAACTAGAAGACTACAGACTGTTTTGTAGAGATGATATAAGAAATAAGGAAAGCAAATCTCCATATGAGTGTAAATATGGTCTGTTAGTTATACTCATCAATAGAAGTTTTGAGCAATTAATATGCAGAATAGTGGGTGAACATGCAAATGGAGAAGGTTAGTAGAAAAAGTAGTCTTCCTATGCCTAACAGAATACTAGATTCCCAAGATGTACCCAGGAATTTTTTGCCATGATCACCCAAAATAATGTTGGCTGGCTTTTGGAATATAGTCTGATACATAGCATTGCTTATATTGGTTCCAGTCCCATGTCTGGATATTTACATTACCTGGAAAATAAAACAACAGTCAGCTTTTGAGTTGGTTTCTTAACTATTCTTCAGGCTGTTACTTTTGTATGGAAAACTTTGTTATACAATTTTTGTTACTATAATTGTAATCAATACTCTGCAAAAGAAGATTGGCTTTATTTTATCCATTTTTTAATCCCACTTAAAATCACTAAAGCAGCAAGAGAAGAATCTTCAAGAGAAACAACACTACTACCAAAGGATGATTTTTTTAAAGTTCCAGTCTAATACTAGTATCAAATTTAAAGCAGATACCTTCAGAACATTTAAAGAAATAGCTTATAAATAGATCAATGAAAACTGTTTAACACATGCATTTAAAGAAGCAGCACGTCTTCAACCTCTAGTTTTTCACCTTGAAGACAAACTCTACATTTTTGATGAAGAATAAACACAGATGTTCTCTCTGCCCCAAGAAATGCTCATAAATAATTTCATTATCTTGCAGAAACTCATACTTCCTATATTTCTGTTCTGAATTTAATGCCATTTGATGCTTTTCAGCAACTTCTGACTGTTTCATACAACAATCCACCTTAGTCTTCACATATTTAAAGACTTCCTTCTTCCAGGGTCCATAACAAATAAACCAATACAAGAATTAAGAAGCGCACAGAAAGCTATTCCTTCTTTTTTCTGCTTCTCATTTATTGCCCTCTGCAGTATATCTTATGGTAAATAATTTGGGGCAGTTACCACCTCCATTTTGCATCATTATCCTGCATGTTTGAACTTCCAAGAAGTCTATCAACTGTCAGTAAATATGAATTTGACAGAATTTGAGCCTAAGAGTATATTAGTAATTCTCCAAAACATTCAACTAAAACTAGAAGTCTTTCAAAGCCAAGTAGTTCTCTCACACTGAGGAAGATCTTTGCAACCTAGGTACCAAAATATTCAAAAAGCACTCTAAAAGCATATTATCATAACTTAGTGATGCTTAATCTTTTCATCTTCTTTTCCATACAATGTCAAGGAAAGAAACTTCTCTAGTGAATCCAGCAATGGGAAGTAATAACTTATTGCAGTAAGTTTCTGGAGCTATACTCTCTAATACTGCAAAGCCATTTGAGACTAATAAGACTTCCACTAATTTGCTAATTAGTTTGACATCACCTAGAGTGCTTGAAATCTATCATTCTCCCAATACGCTATGTAACTAGAGAATGGGCAAAAGAGGATTTACCTTCAAAGGCTGACACTGAAGCTAGCTTGATTTTCAATGAGGATGTCTGGAGGCCAGACTGATTAATGTAGAAGATATTCAAGCAGTCTGTGTGTGGGATATATATAGGTTAATAATGTTCCAATTGCTTAGTCTCAAACCATTGTCCATTTGAAATCATATGAAGAAGTCCACTGAACTTCTTAGGAGACCTCAACATTTTCTCAGACACACCAGTTGGTGGATCTCTACCCACTCAGAAGCCAAGCTGGAATTGAGAGAAATTCTCTATTGGGATGAAGAATACCCTGGTTCTAGGTGAACAAGTCCAGAAAATTTCTGATCATGTGACAGGCAATGGCCTCAGTTAAGAGAGAAAGGTGAGCTTTCACTATCTGCACTTCTGACCAAAATATTCAGATATATTAAGGTGATTAATTTAATTACTTTTTTCAACAATAAAGGTAATTTCCCCTTTGTTGTCAATACCCATTTCTATTGTTTATACTTTAAAATCCCTACTGAATATCTCCAATAAAACAAATATTTTAATTTTCCCCTTTCATATACACAAACCTCCTTATTACAAATAGTAGTTTCCAAGTTAACACAGCATTCTCCTAATTACATGTCATAATCCAATGTATAGGGTAAAGAAAATAATTTACAGAAGAAGAAAAATACTTCAAAAGTAACAAGTTACACCTAAGCATTTGAAGGCTTTTAGAATGTACTTAGTTACAACTAACTACTAAACAAGTTAGTTAAAACTCCTAGTATATCCTTAAGAAACACTGAAACTTTATGATCATATCAGTAAGTTATCAGCAATGTTATACAAGCTCCTTACAGAACTGTAAAATACACACAACTATTAAAACTTACCTATTATAATATCTGCCTCCCATCATAAACTGATTGCTTGATGTTGGACATATTTTAAAACGCTGAATATTTTCACTGGTCCGAAAATAAAGTGAATAATCACCAGGTGTATTATCTGAAGGCCTCACAAGAAAACTGCACACCTGACCAACTGAAAAGATATAATAATACAGCATTATTAACTGTTACTTAGTGTCACTTATGAGCTCTTATCAAAGCTCTTTCTGTACAAATTAGCAAGAATTGCACACATAAAGGATAAAGTCTGATCTAAATTCCAACAGTGATCCCCATTCTTCCCCCAAAAAGGATGAAGTAGTACTAAACTGCTAAAGTTAATGCCAAAACATTTGGCTGTAGGTGACAACCTATCCCAAACTTTTGTCAACTCTTTACAAGAGCATATGGTGTGCATGAGTTTTGACAATATTTAAAAAAAAACCTAAATATTTTTGTTCTCATATTTAAGGTAAGTTATTTGGCAGTATGAGTCTGAAATCTTGATGTTTTCATTTTAAAAAAATATTTCCTCTATGAGGACACTAAAGTTTAATACATTCTCCCATAAGTATATAACAGCATCAAGCCTTCCAGAGTTCAAGAAGTGTTTGGACAACACTCTCAGGCACATGGTGAATCTTGGGGGATGGTTCTGTGCAGGGCCAGGAGTTGGACTCAGTGATCCTTGTGAGTCCCTTCCAACTCAGAATACTCTGTAATTCTGTGAACAGTATTTTCTCCTCAGTATTTTAATGAAGCCCAAGATATATTTATGTATATTACAAAAATTTTTTGAAAATTAGCTATTTCAGTCAGAATTCTGAAACTAACTTTACTTGAGAACATTTAAAAAAACCCCCTCAATGCTCAGCCATGAGGTTTTTTCCAATGTAGTAGCAACCACAGATCTGATGCTCATATGTTCATACAGAAGAAAAGACAGGTTTTCCTGCAGTCTCAAAGGATTAATTTGTCTCATTCCCCTACCACTCTATTTCCATCTGAAATAAAAGTACCTGTCATCAGCAAATTGTAAGCGTCTTGTTTGGAGATCTTCCCATGGAACCATCTTAAAGATAAAGAGAAAAATTAGAAAGCAAGACTATCAGCTCTCTTTTTTAGTAGTTGTGACATCTAAGGCTCTGACATCTATGAATTAATCTCTGGTACATATGAATGAATTTTTGTTTAAAAAAATCTATCAAATATAGATTATATAAGCAACTGTTATGTTATTCAGCAATTCTGTTTTTCTACCAACAGAATGAAAAATAAGTATCTACATCTATATAAACTTATTTGAGTACAGGTGTCCAACACAAATCAGATGTTCAAATCCAAATGTGTTTAGAGATTAAAGGCATTGTTTGAATGCCAGATAATGACAGGCATATTTGAAGCCAGTCTCAGATAGCAATTTATTTGAAGCATGAAATACAAAGCCCAAGGACATTAATGAAAGTTAAACACTATACAGAATAACTAAAATTTAATTTCGCTAGAAGCTGAGGAAATAAACTCCAGCTTTATTAACTACTGAATAAGAATCAGTTTAGTTACCTTCATCAAATCATCATTCAAAAATATACAGCAATCTGTCCAGTCTTAACCTGATACCAATGATTATAGGAAGCAGCTTGATGTTGCACAGGTATTCAGTTTACATGTGACATACCACATGCTACATCTTAAGAGCTCATCCTGTCTTTTAAAGGAAAGCTAGAAATAGGGCCTTTCATTGCAGAGTGGATATGCACATGCATGCATGTTTAAGTGTGTCCTTAGTAACAAAGGGGACCAGGAAGGTTGGACATACTTTAAGATGGAAATGGTAAAGGTGCAAGAGCAGGCTGTCCCTGTGTGCCTAAAGACAAGCTATCAGGGAAGAAAACTGGCCTGGTTGAACAGGGATCTTTCACAGGAACTCAGGTAAAAAAAAGAAAAGTGAATTTATGACCTGAGGAAGAAGGGGCAGGCAACTCAGGAAGAGTACAAGGATATTGTTAGGTCATGCAGAGGGGATTAGAAAGGCAAAAGCCCAGCTGGAATTCAATCTGGCTACTGTCATAAAAGACAGTAAAAAGTATTTTTACAAATGCATTAACAACAAAAGGAGGGCCAAGGAAAATGTCCATGTTTTATTGGATGTGGGGAGGAAGGATGGGATGGACACATTGTTCCCAAGGATGAGGAAAAGGCTGAGGTACTTAATACCGTCTTTGCCTCAGTCCTTAACAAAGACTGGTTATCCTCAGGGTACCCAGCCCCCTGAGCTGCTAGACAGAGGCGGGAAGCAGACTAGATCCCCTGCAATCCAAAAGGAAGCAGTTAATGACCTGCCGAGCCACAAGTCACTCACAAGTCTATGGGGCCTGATGGGATTCACCTGAGGGTACTGAGGGAGCTGGTGGAAGAGCTTCCTAAGATGCCCCCCATTATTTATCATCAGTCCTGGTGAACCATGGAGGTCCCAGATGACTGGAGATTGGCCAACGTGATGCCAATCTACAAGAGGATCCAGGGAACTACAGGCCTGTCAGCCTGACTAACATCATCTGGAGTGCCATCACACAGCACATGCAGAAAAAACAGGTGATCAGGCCTAGCCAACATGGGTTTAGGAAAGGCAGGTCCTACTTGACCAATGTGATCTGCTTCTCTGACCAGGTGACCTGCCTGGTGGATGAGAGGAAGGCTGTGGATATTGTCTACCTGGACTTCAGCAAAGCCTTTGATACTGTCTCCAACTGCATTCTCCTGGAGAGGCTGAAGCCCGTGGCTTGGACAGGTACCCTCTGATGGGAAAAAAATTGGCTGGATGACTGGGCCCAGACAGTGGTGGTGAATGGTGCTACAGCCAGTTTGTATCTGGTCACTAATGGTGTTCCCCAAGGCTCAGTGCTGGGGCCAGTCCTGTTTAATATCTTTATTTATAATCTGGATGGGAGGATCAAGTGCACCCTCAGTAAGTTTGCAGACTACACTGAGTTGGGTGGGAGTGTTGATCTGCTGGAGGGTAGGAAGGCTCTGCAGAGGGATCTGGACATGCTGAATACATGGGCCAAGACCAACAGTATGAGGTTCAACAATGCCAAGTGCCAGGTCCTGCACTTGGGTCAAAACAACCTCATGCGGCGCTACAGCCTGGGTTGACATCTGGCTGAACATGGGCCAGCATGTACCCAGGTGGCCAAGAAGGCCAATGACATCTTAGCCTATATCAAAAATAGTGTAGCCAGCAGGACCAGGGTAGTGATTTGCCTCCCTGTATTCAGCACTGGTGAAGCCACACCTGAAATACCATGTCTGGTTCTGAGCCACTCACTGCAAGAAAGACATTGAGGTGCTGGAGCATGTCCAGAGAAGGGCAACAAAGCTGGTGAAGGGTCTAGAGAGTAAGTCCTCTGAGGAGTGGCTGAAGGTACTGGGGTTGTTTAGCCTGGAGAAGGGGAGGCTCAGGGGAGACCTTACTGCTCTCTACAACTACCTGAAAAGAGGTTGCAGCCATGTGGGGGTTGGCCTCTTCTACCAGGTAACTAGTGACAGAGAAGAAGACATAGCCTCAAGCTGTGCCAAAGGAGATTCAGGTTGGAAATCAGGAGGAATTTCTTCACAGAAAGGGTACTTACACATTGGAATGGGCTGCCCAGAGAGGTGGGAGTCACCCTCCCTGGAGGTGTTCAAGAAAGACTGAATGTGGCACTTTTAGTGCTCTGGTCCAGTTGACAAGATGGTGATCAGTCAAAGGCTGGACTCAATCTCAGAGGTCTTTTCCAACTCAAATGATTCTGTGAAATAGCCCAAAATGGGACCAAACTAGGGCCTTAAAGGGAAAGTTGCATCAGAAGAGGTTTAGATTAGATATTAGGAAAAATTTCTTTATGGAAAGGGTAGTCAGGCATTGGAACAGGCTGCCCAAGGAAGTGGAGGAGTCACCATCCCTGGAAGTGTTCAAAAAATGCATGGATATGGCACTTGAGGACATAATTTAGTGGTGAATGTGGTGGTGCTGCTGGGTTGATGGTTGGACTTGATCTTAGAGGTCTTTTCTAACCTTAACGATTCTGTGATTTTGTGTAAAACAAAGCCTCTTATACATAAAAAGAGCTCTAGTTCTAACTTGCTTTCTATATTACCTTTACAGGAAAATCCCTGGCTATTGGAATATTTACAGAAATCCCTGCCTCCTCTGGAATCTTCTGAGCAGAATGAGTAACTGAATTGAGTATCCAAACTTCAAGATTCGCTACAAACTACTTGGTTTAAAAAAAAAAAAAAAGTTCCTGTATTTGAAGGCATCCCTACTACTGTTATGCTGCTATACCAAACTCACTAGCACAACTTTGAAAACCTGTAAACTGAAGCCACACACCAACAATTTTCTTTCCCCTATTAGGAACAAAAACAAACAACCAAGAAAACACCACCAGAAGAAATGCCTTCTTCTAACATCAGTGCTTTGGAGACTGCAAACTGGGTAAAAAATACAGAAAGAAGAAGCTGCAATTATTGCAAGCAAATAGAGGACAGATTAAGTTATCCAGCTACTAGAAATTTTCTGTAACTTTCATTCGCTGCTCATCTTTACAACAGAAAATCATATAACAATCAAGTTTCCTGTATCAATTCATTGTTCATTGTAAATTGTATTACTTTTTTTAAAAATTATTTAACAAGTTGGAATTCACTGCAAACATTATTTTAGTGTCTCCTGGTTTTCATTTAAAGTGATAGCACATGAGGCTAATATCAAGTGTTACTATTATACTATCATTCCTCTAAATGATACTTTGATGACTCTCCTGCAGTTAAGAGTTGAGCAGACCTGAAAAAAAGGTTACCTCTAAGCTAAACTGTATGGTATAAAAAATCCCCACAAATCAGAAAACACCACATCCTCCAGTGAATATATTCTAGGTAAAGTGATCACAGAGACTCATTCAAGATTTTCACTGTAAAACCCATTAACATTAGGCATAACTAATACAAGACTTCATGTCAATGACCTATTCAACTTCAACAGCTAGAATAGAAGAAAAGTCTTAAGATTAAAAAACAAGTACATACAACTTTGGTTCACCTTCCCAATCTCATAGCTAAAGTTTACAAACAGTTATTATTTGCTTTAAAAAAAAAAAAATTAAAAAAAATCCTTACATTTTGCCTTCATGTGGATCTTCTTCTCTTCCCTAATAGGAAAATTAACATATTAAGTACATGACGACAGTATGCTTGAGTTTAGAAAAGTAAACTTCATAGGTTAAGGCCTTCTGTAGAAATAACACTAAGAAGTCCAAGATATTTTTGAACTAGATGGCTTATTGCACAGTTCATGTAAAGAGGTTTTCAACTTCATTCACTGGAATTCAGTGGAAATTCAGACATAACACGTTATTTCAAAGGATTGTTTCTGTCACTCTTCAAGTCCTTCTTTACATGTGGTAACTTAAATCTAAACTTTTGTGAACTTCAACCACTAATGTAGAAATTTATAGTTAGATACTCTAATTTCAATTTAGCCATTCACATCCTGAAACAGATGTGAGAACAGGTGAAGCAAACTTTACTAATAGCAATATACATATGCTGCAAAGCAAACATCATCAAGACTCCAAAGCAATGGTGAACTACTTTGAAAAAAAATCATGTAGGAGGGTGGGGTGGGTGTTTTTGTCCATTAAATAATCTCTTATCCTGCAGTAAATCAATTTCAATTATCTTTGTCACCCGATTAGCTTCCTGACTTAGCATAAGCCCTTCTACGTATAATTAACTCATCAGAATTTTGATATCCACGCTTGGCCCTTAAAAAAAATGAAAACAAAGACATATGGCAAAATTTGAGTTGATACATTTATGAATATTTCAAAGCAAACAAACAAACAAAAATAATATAACTGAATTACTAGCAAGTCATTTATCAGGACTGGTGAGTTTAGGAAACTGCTTAAAAAGTTGACAGTATCATTCATTTGCACATGAGCATTTTTGGATAACAAGAAGAGGTACTTTGTTTGGATATTAAATTAGACAATAGTTTGTTAAACTACTTAAAAGCTGGCAGATTCAAATACTGCAAGAAGGTTTAGAAAAGTAGACAAAGTCAGGCAGATAAATGACCCTAGTTTGGTTTAATTTCAATGTTAACTTCTACACACAACTAACAAAAAATAAAAATCAAATCTCAGTTCTGTAGCAGCCACAGGGCCTGCAAGGCCTCCCTGGTGGTCAGTTGCATAAGATAAGAAATGCCTAGTCATGATGACTGGACCAAAGAAGCCCCTCTTCCACCTTCGGACCCTTGTTATCTCTCTGTAAGACGATAGGTCATATTCGCCTTGACCCTTACTATTGGACTGTTTCCCAAAACCCCTATACCCTATATAAACACCCACTTCTGCCCAGTTCTGCAGAAGAGCTGTCACTGCGACCCTTCGCAGAGGCTGCCAATAAAGACACCTCTGTGGAACCTCATACAGCACTTCTCTCTCTCCCTGTGTCTGCTGAGGCATTTAGCAAGCAAAGAGCTGAAATCACTAAAGAGCTGAATTCACCAAAGAGGTGATCTCACTTAAGAGCTGAGCTGCTTGGTAAGATTGCCTGCAGCTGGGAGCTTGCCTGAGGGACCCAGACAGGTTGTGCTTAGCTGGACTTCGCTATCCGGACACCTATGGCAGCCAGGGTCGGAGAGAGACCCCGGGAACCCCCGCCATAATAAAAACAGTTCTGCAGCAGATTTGAATATAAAATTACTTACCACTTCTTCTACCAGGTCTTCTACTATAAGACCTTGTTCATCTGTCCGTAGGTTTGTAACCCACATCCAGCCATCTTCCAATTCATTATGCACAATAAACATATCTCCTTTAAGGAAACTGAAGAGAGTTACAGTAACACATATGTTAGAAGTACAATCATAATACAAAGTTTAATGAACACAGTGAATTCTTGAGCATAGTTTCAGAAAAACATTTGATAAAATTTGACCATGAAAGGTATATTTATTGGTATCCCAAGCACACCATGTGCATTTTTCACACAGTTTAAGTAGGTATGAATATCACATGTTAATCCTTCTTTATTTTACATTTAGAATCTAATAGATACTTTAAAGTATGCTAAGGATGCATAAAACAAAAAAAAACACAACAGCATTAGAAGATAGTAACATTCTTTTATCAAGAGGGACCAAATACTACGCACAGGTAAAAACAATCAAAGATTTCCTTAATAGTCTAAAAAAAAAATATTTCTATCAAAACCAAGATTTGTATACTAAAGCCTATGGAATATCTACGATTTAAGTATTTGGATATGAAGATAAGTGCTAAAAAGAAGATACAGAACAGTTCCTCAAGAAGACATGCAAATAACTACAAATAAGAGTATAAATACAAAGCATTAAAACATTCAAAGGAGTTTCATTACTGGAAGGTTAGTATAAATTATTCCTTAAGTGTAAGCCCAAACTCAGGTATACTGGTTTTCACTAGAATAAATTTCTTCATAGTAGCTCCTGTGGGGGGACAGACAGTGTACTTAGGGACCAGCTGGGCATCAGTCTGTTGATAAAATGCAACTGTTTTCATTTGCATAACTTTGTTTTTCTTGGGTTTTATTTCCCTTTCTCCTTGTCAGATGGTGGGTGGGATTTTTCCCCCTTACAACATTTTTTTAAAATTTATTTTTAATGATTAAAACTGTCTTTATCTCAACCCACAGATGTCTCATTTTTACCCTTCCAATTATTCCCCCATCCTACCAGTAGGGAGGGAGCAAGAAGCTGTGGGATGCTTAGCTGCTATCTGGAGTTAAACCACAACAGTCCTTTCTGGTACCCAACAGGGTCCTCAAAGGGTTTGAGATAAAAACAGATTTTACCAAAAGGTATTAGAAGGAATTTATATCTGTTTACAGTTGCTGGTCCCAATATTGATTTATCTGTTTTAAACATTAGTTTATCTGATCTGTACCATGGTCTTTTTTTTACTGTACATGTTAAAGACTGGTTTTGGCTTTTACAGTTTTCTATGCTCTGTAGCACTTAGTGGTTGCTCTGGTTTGAAAGCAAAGCCAGTGAGAGACTCCAAGTCAGAAATACGATTTATTAGGAAAGGGGAAAACCAAAATACATGCAATAATACAAAAGAAAAACCACTGACAAAGTCAGAATACAACCTGACACCCTGTTGGTCAGGGTGTTGGTAGCAGTCCAGTTGGATTGGTGGCTGCAGTCCTCCTGGAGTGGCAGATGTGGTTCTGTTGGAGCAGTGATCCTGTAGAAAGGGTGTAGTCTTCCTCTGAAGATCCAATGGAAAAGATGGCCATTCCTCTGGGAATCCAGTGGAAAGACTGACTGTTCTGTCCCAAATCCCAGATTATATCCAGTTGGGGATGCTTAGCTCCTCCCCCCTGGGTGGAGCATCTCACAATGGGCTGTTATCATTCTATGACTCATGTGATCATCTTAAGTAGTCCGTTGCACCATTCAACTTTCCCAGCAGCTGGTGCATGATAAGGGATATGATATATCCATTCAATACCATGTTCTCTGGCCCAGGTATTTACAAGGCCGTTCTTGAAATGGGTTCTGTTGTCCAACTCAGTTCTCTCAGGGGTGCCATATCTCCACAGGACTTGCTTTTCTAGGCCAAAGATGATGTTCCGGGCAGTAGCATGAGGCACAGGGTAGGTTTCCAACCATCCTGTGGTTGCTTCCACCATGGTCACCACATAGCGCTGGCCTTGGCGGGTTTGGGGAAGCGTGATGTAGTCAATTTGCCAGGCTTCCCTATACCTGTACTTCAACCATCGCCCATCGTACCACAGAGGCTTCACCCGCTCAGCCTGTTTGATTACAGTGCAGGTCTCGCAGTTGTGGATGACCTGTGAGATGTTGTCCATAGTAAGGTCCACCCCTCAGTCACGGGCCCATTGGTATGTTGCATCTCTCCCCTGATGACCAGAGGCATCATGGGCCCAACGAGCTAGGAATGATTCTCCCTTGTGCTGCCAGTCTAGATCCACCTGTAACACTTTCACCTTGGCAGCTCAGTCCACCTGCTCATTGTTGTGATGTTCTTCATTAGCCCAACTCTTGGGTACATGCGCATCCAGGTGTCAAATCTTCACAGTCAGCCTCTCTGCTCAGGTGGCAATGTCCTGCCAAATCTCGGCGGCCCAGATGGGTTTCCCTCTGTGCTTCCAGTTGGCCTTTTTCCAGTAATCCAGCCATCCCCACAGAGCATTAGCTACTATCCATGAGTCGGTGTAGAGATAGAGCCTTGGCCACTTCTCTCGTTCGGCAATATCCAAAGCCAGCTGGACGGCTTTAAGCTCTGCAACCTGACTCGATCCACCTTGTCCCTTGGTAGCTTGTGCAACTTGTCATGTGGGGCTCCATACTGCAGCTTTCCATTTCCGGTTAGTGCCTACAATTCCGCAGGAACCCTCAGTGAAGAAGGCATATAATCTTTCAGTCTCCGGTAGCTCATTATATGGTGAGGCTTCCTTGGTACGTGCCAATTGCTCCTCTTCTTCAGAAGAAGAAAATCCAAAAGTCTCCCCATCAGGCCAGTTTGTTACAATTTCCAGAATCCCAGGATGATTTGGATTTTCAATACAGGCACGCTGGGTGATGAGGGCAATCCATTTGCTCCATGTGGTGTCGGTGGCATGATGAGTGGAAGGAACCTTTCCTTTAAACATCCACCCCAGCACTGGTAGCCGGGGTTCCAGAAGAGGCTGTGTTTTGGTGCCAATTACTTCTGAGGCAGGTTGAACTCCTTCATAAGCAGCCAAGATTTCCTTCTTTATGGGAGTGTAGTTTGCTTCAGAGCCTTTGTAGCTCTGGCTCCAGAATCCCAGCGGTCAACCCTGAGTCTCACCAAGCACCTTCTGCCAAAGGCTCCAGGACAGACCATGGCTACCGGCTGCAGAGTAGAGCACATTCTTCACCTCTGGTCCCGTCCTGACTGGGCCAAGGGCAACTGTATGAGTGATTTCCTGCTTGATCTAGGTAAAGGCTCGTTGCTGTTCAGGGCCCCAGTGGAAATCGTCCTTCTTGTGGGTGACCAGGTAGAGAGGGCTCACAGTCTGGCTGTACTCGGGAATGCGCATTCTCCAAAAGCTATGGCACCTAGGAAAGCTTGTGTTTCATTCTTGTTGGTAGGTGGACACATAGTGGTGATCTTGTTGATTACCTCTGTTGGGATATGACGATGTCCATCTTGCCACTTGACTCCTAGAAACTGAATTTCTTGAGTTGGTCCCTTAACCTTGCTTTGCTTAATGGCAAAACCAACTTCCAGGAGAATCTGGATAATCTCTCCTTTTTCAAAGACGTCCCCTGCTGTGCTCCCCCATACAATGATGTCATCGATATACTGTAGATGTTCAGGAGCCTTGTTGTGATCGGCGGAAGAAATGCGGCACACAACATGAGTGATCAGCAAGTCTTGAAAGTTTATTGAATAGGCACACACATTTAAATGATCTCAGGCCTAAAAATTTGATTCATCCATCAATACCAAAGTCTAATTCTACCTGTAAGTTTCCAGTCA